GCCGAAGGCGCCCCCTTTGATACGGAGACGGAGAGTACTCAAATCCATTTCTAATTCTAGATTCTAACCCCAATCCCTATAATTACAGATAATGATCTAGCCCTATTCGAAATTGAAATTCTAAGACTAATCTGGTTCTTTACACATCTTCCTTCTTTCAAGGCTAGATTCATACCTTCTCAAAGATCAAGACTCCCAATTTGAATCGAAATCGAAAACTTCTTCTGTGATTCTTGTTGAAGACTTCTAATCTGGATATTTCTTCTCACTGATGTAGTAATCTATCCAAACTCGAATAGATTTAGGGATAAACCAAAAGAATTTGGGAATTTTGGGAGAATGACTAGCGGCAAACGAAGAGGGAAACAAGAGGAGTTGTGAAAATGAGGGCTAGGGTTCAACTGTACCCAGAGCCCATAGGTAAAACCACGTCGTTTTGCCATTTCCTCCTCTCAGCCCTTCAAGTTTCTAGTTTTTACAAAAATAGTCCATTGACCTCTGATTTTATCATTTAGCCCCTGATAAAAATTGGGTTGACACCATGAAGAAGACAGTGCAAGGGAAGGATGTTTGAATTAGAATACTGAATTGTGCTCCCCTTGTGTAATATTCTGTACATTGAGTAGCTATTAATACAACCATAAGAGCAAATCTAGATCCTGTAATTATGTATACAAATAAAGAATATAAATATTATTTGCCTAATACTAACATTGCCTTCATAACCGTTGTACTGTTCTTCCCTTAATCTGTGCCCCAGGGATTGATTAGCTACCTTCTTTGTTCCTTGATTACCTCTGTTAGCTGATTCTTCTTCATTCTTCTGTCAACTGTTTCATGCGTTGATCCTTCACATATCCTGCTTTAACAATAATATCTAAGCATCCTCCATGGTTGATGCCTTGGACAGAATATCTTTAAGCTTGTCGCAAGCATCCAGCCAAAAACTAGTACAGTGCTCAAGCAGTAGCATAGCAGGTTCCATGGCTAACAAATTCATCATATAACCTAATAACTATTTGCTGCCTTTCCTTTCTTCAGTAGAGACACTAGGGCCTTCACAAGGTGCCAGATTATGATGCTGCTATCAAAGTCCAATTTGATGATGCTCTATTCCAGGCTATTATATCGACGACATCGTGAACCAAGTATAAATGATCCCTTCATTGAATCGAATACCTTTTTGCCTCTTGTTGGTTCAAAGGAAAAATCATCTTTAAAGGAATCTAGACAATTTTGGTAATCCTTTAGCTTTAAATAGCTTGAAACCTTCACAAACCTGGTACATTTGAACATATGCCAATTTTCAAGAATACAGCTGCTACAATCCTTTTCTAGGAAACCATAAACCTTAGAATTCCTGGAATTTCAATAATAATGTAACAAATTAAATTGCCCCATCCTACCTGACCACTTCTTCACTTGTGGAAATAACAAGCAATGACAGCATTTGTAATCGTACTGGAGGATTTTGCAAACCAAACAATTTTGATAAAATAACATCAAAGGTATCGTCCAATGAGAAGAAAACATTGAGTACACAGCAAAAAATTCCAGTGCCACAGCACTGACCAACAAGTTGATTGTTATGTGAATATCAACTGTTGAGAAATGAAATTTCAACTTGTTAATGACGGATCAGCAAGAGCAGCAGAACAAAAGGAGCAAGTGAAGCTTTTGAGGTGCAAGAAACATCCTTTCTTAGTATAAATCAAAGAAATTTTTGTGTATAAAATGTTAAATATGAACGCCATTTCTATAGCAGCTATGTCAAAAGGATATTCACTTAGCTTTCCCTTTTCAATTGAATCTAGCAAAATTGACTTCCGAAGGCCGAATTTATCAGCAGTTTTCTCCTAATAAGTTTTTATCCTTATTATAGAGGACTGGAGATACTGCTGAGATAATCATTTGCATCTGGTCTCAAAACTGAAAACCATACATAGCCTAGTAGTACTATTATGGAATCTAGATGTTCTTTTAGAAGGTTCTCAAGGGATAGACTAAACTCGAACCCACCAAGATAATAAAACATGGAGATGACTGGTTCTGTTTTCTTAGATTTAATCAGCTCAAGACACAAAAACCTCTCTACATATTTAATTATTCCAGCTAAAATAAGAGGAATGGTCAAAATGGAAAGCAAAAGATAGGTCCATGACAAATAGATGACATAAATGGAAAACATTGATGAGACCACTAGGGTGAGGATGTTTCTGGTCTAAAGCACCTTGCAATAAGTAAGCAGCGATGGTATCCAGGCCACTAAGGTGCAATATTAGTATGGGAGCCCATAGTGCTCTTAAAACATTTTTTGTGGGAGATAATGTGCGAGCATTGGAGAGCTTACCAAGAGAAGTGATGGCGACCCAATCTGCACTTATGTAGGCAAACCAGAGAATCATTCTGTTGATTTGGCTGACACAGTACTTTCTGTGCTTGCCTAAGATGTAGAGGGCTATTTGCAGCAACAAGCTCAGGAGAACAATCCCCCTCACATCCCATTCACTCCATATCTTCTGCAACAAATATGCAAATATGCTCGCAAGTGATGATGCCACCTTCCCTCTGTTTATATATATGCATACCAACAAAACATACATGTTAATCATACAAATATTTTTCATGAATTAAAATGTTTATAATTGATATGTTTTGTTAATGGATAAACCTTCCAATCATTGCGTATCATAAGCTTCTAACTTGGGCAATCTAGCTTCGATGTCAGGTATGGCTACAATTCTTCTATTTATGCCTTAATGACACTGTTTTCAAACCCGGCTCAGCCGGGTCAGTTCAACCAGTTGAACCAAACTTGGTTCTAAAAACGAGCCGGGTGATGATATTTACCTGTTTAAGGTTAAACCCAGTCAAAACCCATTCAAACCTGATCAAACCCATTCAGACCTGGTCAACTTGGTTGACTTGCTGGTTCAACTTTTTCATTTTTTACATTTTCACTTTTTTT